TGCCACGATTCCTTTGTAATCTTCGGAGTCCCAATGCGATGTTTTTCCAGATTCAGAGTTCCGTCGCGCAGTACTCCCCCTTCCCTTTCGCCCTGCCCAAAAGCTACAAATCCGCGCCTATTACCGGTGTCCCAATTCAGTGTCTCTCCCGAATTTGCATATGTTTTCGCGCAATTCCCCCCCCCGCCCAGGCCCCCCCCCCTCCCCCCGCCCGCCCGCGCGCCCGCCCGCGCGCGCACCGAAGCCACAATTCCTCCGTAACCTTCGGAACCTCAACGCAATGCCTTTCTGAATGCAATATTCCGTCTCGTGCAATATTTCCCTCCCGGTTGATGCGAGAGACGGCGATGCCCAAGCCCTCGCTGTTGCGCTGGCCGCTGAGGGTGACGGTTGGCTCACTGGTCGCGCGCGGCCAGGGGCTGTTCGGATCTCATCGTGCCGCTGTGCATGCCGTGCTCCGGCGCACACGTTCAAGGATTTCATGCCCAGAGCGTGCTCCGCCCATCTTCTCCCAGCGCCCGTGCGTTTTTTTCTTGGTGTGCCCAATTAGTCCGTGTAGTGTCCCTCGGCTGCCTCCGACCGCGGCATTGATCCGCGCCGCTGCGACCCCAAAAAAGTTAGGATTTCGATCTCATCGGGTGACGAGGACTGCTACAGGTGGCGCGAGGGCCACGACACACCCTACCTAGATTGGGAGGCGGGGCCCCACACGGTGCTCTTCGTGTTCGCGCGCTCCGCCTCGAGATGCCCCGCGCCTCGGGCAACTCCGCGGGGCCCTGGGCCGGCCGCGAGCGGGGTTCCTGTTCTGTATGCGCGTTCTCGGCTCTATTCCTGCGCTGCGGGAGACCCCTGCCCCCCCCCAGGCAGCGCGTTGAGGAGGGAAGTGAGAGGGCTCGCCGTTTTCAGAGCAGACTTGCTCCCTCTTACTTCCCCCTCTCGGCGCGTCGCCGAATTCAGTTTGGTCGGGCCATAATTTGGGTTTCCGGCTGCCGTTCGGGACCATCTAGGCACACTCGGACGCCTTTCGGCGAGGCGCAACCGTTGGAACGCGTCCCGAGGCTGGTACACCACCGCCGCGGGCTGTTTTCTTTGCCGCGCAAGGTGTGTCAAATATTGCGGTGATAGCATGCCATCTGCGCAGCGTCATTTGGGCGCGCGGTTCTACTCGTAAGAAGCAACACGCGAACATGGTGTACACTTCGGGCTTGTGTGTAAACTGACTGGGGGGCTGGCGTTTCTATACACCGTCCCCGCGTAGCAATATAGCGTTTGGTAACACCTATTCTCGACCAATGCGGCCGCCATCTGCGCGCATGACCGCGTGACAAGTATTGTCGTTAGGCGCAGGCACGCAGTGGCGGCCCCTGTTGGGGCGGTTGCACGCGTGCTTTTTGTTCACTGCCGGTGGTGGTGGTCCGGCGCGACGGCGTGCACCCAGGGCGCGGAGGCGGCACCGGCTGCTCTCCGCTTCCCAGGGGTGCTCTTCGCCCCCAGGGCTCCCGAGTTTATCGGACCGCCGTCGCCTGATCCTGACGCCCACGTTGAGCCTTTCAAGAACCTGGGACCCCACCTCCTCCTCCTCGAGTTGTGGGAGAGCAGCAGCGGGCGGTTTTCGGCCGTTTTCGTCTTCTTGGGGCCCTCGCACTGGGCCCGGGGCCGTCAAGAACGGTTCGGGATTAGAAGTTGGCCCCGGGGAAAAGGTGCAGAGTTTGGGAGGTCCACGCCGCCCAGTCTTCCCTAGCAGTGTCCGAGAAGATAGGTTCGGAGGAGTGCGACGCGTCGCCGATTCATCGCCGATGCATCGGCAAGGCGGCCCGACGTGGAGCCCGATCCTGTGCACGCTGGCGGCGCCGACGCACGATGCATCGGCGATGCAGCATCGGTTATGCGGCGCGATCCTCCGGCCCCACCTGCTCGGACCCCATGTGGGAGGCCTCCGCGGTGAGCGTCATAAAAAACTCCGTGATGGACGCTCCCTCCAGGGTTAGGCCCGTAGCTTGGGTGCAACCGCCGCCCCTGCCGGCCTTGGGCCAAGAGTCCGTGAAGAGGAGGTTGCGGGCACACACACACACACACGAAAGAGTGGGCGAAGATTGGCCCAGCATATGTTGCTAGACTCGGTGGGGCTGGTTGCTGCTCTGCCTCGGTACTGTGTTCGAGCCAGCCCTGAGAGAATACCCGAGAGAGCTGCATGTTTTTGGGCATCGAGTGCGACTTGCACAAATGACGTTGTGTGTTTTGGACGTCTGCTGCTCAACACACGTCTCTCAGGACTCCTTCAAGGAAACCGCACAAGCATAGTCTGTCTGACATCCGTTAGGGGAGTTCGCCGGCGTCGGACCCCCTCGCCACGAGAGACCGACCAGGACGTTCGAAACTGTCCGCGGGCGTCCGCGGAGTCCGTGACCGCCCGCGAAACCGTCCGCGGGCGCCTTGAATTGTGCACTAAAAACAGCCCAGGGGCTTCCTATCTACAGTTCCAGATCTCCGGCGATGTGTTCTCTCCTGTGCCTGCGGCTTCCCTCGATTTGGGCCCTTGCGGCCCGTTCTCGGGCCCCAGGGCCGTAAGAAGTGGATCTGGGACGAAAAGCTGCCCCTTGGGGAAGTCGGGGCCGTCCAAGACGGGGGTGATGACTACGGAGAGGTGGGTACAGTCATGGCGCTGAAGCGATGTCCAGTTCGGGTCCGTAAGGGGCTCGGTGGTTCCTCGAGTCTGCTTGCGTTCCCTCGCAGTTTTGCCAGGAAGCCCGTCCCTTGGGCCTCGGCAGAGGGAGGGGTCCTCTTCAAAACGGGAGGCAACCACGAGGGAACAACGCCTCCAGAGAGGAGCTCGGTCGCTCCTCAGGACTGTGTCGCCTCATCTTGAAAGACGGGGTTTCGTTCCTTGTCCAGCGTTTCTGCTGGCAGTGCCACGACTGTATCACGAATGGGGCCATGAGGTCTGCCCGGATGTCATGGCCCCTCCTCTCATGTCGATGCGGCCCCTCGACGGCCCCTGGGCCGCGCACGTGCCTCCGCCCATGATCAGCGAGCGAAGGCGACCGCGGAACCACTACGGGCAGCGAGGGGCATCGAAGGCGGGCGAAGGGCAGCGAGCGGCGACTGCAGTCCCTAACGGGCTGATCGGGCGGGCAGGCCCAGACGGGCGGGTCGAGCGGGCGTGTCGTTGAAGCGTAAATTTTGTTTGAATCGCCAGGCAATATGTAGCGGGAGCGCGATTCCTGAGTATCGAGGAGCGGCATCTGAATAAGTTGTAAGGAATTGTCAAGCGGGAGCCGCGCGTCGGTGGTAAGTTGCGAGGAAGTCCCAAGCGAGAGCGCGATTCTTCAATAACTTGTGAGGAAGTATCCGGCGGGAGCCGCGATTCGGTGGTAAATTGCAAAGAAGTCCCAAGCGAGAGCGCGATTCTTCAATCCATTGTGAGGAAGTATCAGGCGGGAGCCGTTGTAGTTGTTGTTGTTGTTGTTGTAGTTGTTGTTGTAAACCGGGCGCCAACAACAAAGTTTGACCCTCAAGTTGTTCCCTGATCAAAACCAGGGTGCGAACCCTGGGAAAGGGCATTTCAATAGAAAAATCAATGTGCACCGGACGGGGGGGACCAACAATAATTATCCTTCTGAGATGAGAGTTCAACAATAACAACAACAGCAACAACAACTGCAGCAGCAACAACAACAACAACGCTTTGACAACAACAGCAGCAACAACAATAACAACAACTGCAGCAACAACTGCAGCAGTGCTCCTGCTCGCCGGTGAAAGCCGCCGTCCCAACAAAATCAGCGCTACCGCTCGAGACCTCTTCCCGTTTTACCTTGGACTGGCGCGCTACTCTTTCTCTCATCGGCGCCGCCCCCAGCAGCAACAACGCTCCCGCTCGAGACATCCTCCCTTTTTTACTCAAGGCGGTACTCCTCCTCGCCGCCGAAAACCGCCGTCCCGACAAAACCAGCGCTCCCGCCCGAGACTTCCTGCCGTTTTACGCTGGACTGGCGCCCTACTTTCTTTTGAATTGGCGCCGCTCCCAGCAAGAACAACGCTTTGGCTCGAGGCTTCCCCCGACGGTGCTGCTCCTCGCCGCCGACAGCCCCCGTCCCGACAAAGCCACGGCTCCCGCTCGAGACTTCCTCCCTTCTCACTCAAGGCGGTGTTCCTCCTCGCCGCCGACAACCGCCGTTCCAACAAAACCAGCGTTCCCTCTCGATACGTCGTTATGTTGTACGCTGGACAAGCGCCCTACTCTCTTCAGCATTGGCGCCGCTCCCAGCAACAACAGCGGCCCTGCTCGAGACTTCTCACTTTTCTATTCAGGGCCAGGTCCTTGCCTCGCTGCCGACAGCCCCCATACCCACCAAGGCAATCCTGTCGCTCGATACCTCCTGGTGCTTTACCCTTGTCTGGGGCTCCACTGGCGGTCTCGCATCGGCGCAGCAAGGCGCGGGCATGCGTTTTCGAAGCGGCATATGTTGAAATTCCTCGGAGGAGGTGTTTGCAAGGCCTCATTGGGCGGGATATTTGGGAATGGGAACAGCGGGCCCCGCTATACGAACAATAATCCCCCATGATGGGGATGGCTATCATGATGGTCGCATGCTTCGTGTGGAAACATCGCGCGTGAGGGCAAACTGATTGTTGCTGTTGTTGTTGTTGCTGTTGCCGTTGTTGTTGCTGCTGTTGTTGTTGTTGTTGTTGTTGTTCTTGTGGTTGGTGTTGTTGCTGCTGCGGCTGTTGCTATTGTTGTTGTGGTTGTTGTGGTTGCTGCCTTTGTTGTTGATGTTGTTGTTGTTGTTGGTGTTGTTGTTCTTGTTGTTGTTGTTGTCGATTGTTGTTTGTTGTTTGTTGTTTGTTGTGTGTTGTTTTTTGTTTGTTGTTGCTGAACTCTCACTTCTGAAGAATATATGATTCTTTTAACACGTGTATGCTGCGTACCACGGCGAAGTTGCCGCACTTGATGGTCATCCGTTGCCATCTGGCTCGAGCCTCGAGCGAACTCCGCCCGTATGCTCTCAGCCGCTCGCGCGGCGGCCGATTTGCTGCTGCCAGAGCTGGGCCGCGGGCTGAGCACCGGCGTGGCGCTGTACGCGGCCAGCCAGGGGCACGCGCAGTGCCCGGCGTGCTCGTGCGCGCCGCAGTTCCACTGCCCGGAGCTGCGGTGCGACTGCTCAGGCCTCCAGGGCTCGAGCAGCCACGGGCCCAGCCTGTGGGCCGTGGCGCTGGCCTGCGCCGCCAGCGGGCTGGTCGGGGCCTTCACCGCCGCGCTGGCCTTCTGGCGCGCGGGCGGTCGCTTCGTGGCGGCCCGCCGCCCACAGGTCGGTGGTGACAGGGAGCCGGACTTCGAGGAGGAGGCCCGTGCTCAGGCGCGGGTGGCGCGCGCCAAGGCACTGCAGCAGTGATGGCGGCGCCGGCGCCGCCGGTGCACCCGTCAGTGGCCGCGGCAGGTGTTCAGCCCGGCGACTTCATTGGGGTGCAGTACCACGTCGCGGGCGGGGCCCTGATCCACGAACGCGTTGTGGTGCTCGTGCCGCCAGGGCTTCCAGGCGCGGCTTGCATCATCACGCCCGATGCGGACGAGTATGAGGAGCTGTACGTGGGCTCGCCGGACGTGCTGCGGTGGGACATCTTCCCTGGCGGCGCGGCGGGGGGCACGATGGCGTGGGCGCCTGGCGCCCGCTACTACAGGTTCCGCAGCCTGCCGACGCCGGCCACGCTGCTCACCGCCGCGGCCGCAGCCGCCGGCCGTCTCGGCCTTGCCGCCCCGCCTGGGCCCATCGTGGCCAACGCAGGTGGGCGGCCGCTGGCGGCGCCGGCGGCGGCGGCCGTGGGTGCGCTGCTGCCTGCCGCTGCAGCCCCGGCCGCCGCCCCCGCTGCGGGCGTCGCCGGGCTGGTGGCCGCGCTGGGGGGCCCCGCGGGGGCGCCCGGAGCCCTGGTGCCCCTCGGGCCTGGCGGTGCGGCGGCCCCGGCCCCGGCGCCCGCGCCGGCGCCCGCGCCGGCGCTTCCAGGCGCTGCTGCCCACGCTGCTCCGCCTGGCGCACAGTCGGACGCCCGTGTGCTGCCTGTGGCGTACAACGCCCTCGGCCAGAGGAAGCTGGGCTTCTCGGAGGCTGTGCTGCGCCTCGTGGAGCATGACTGGCCGGACTGGCCCATCTCGGGGCCGAGGACGACGCTGTGGGTGTGCCTGTTCATGAAGGACAACGGCATGTCGCCGCTGGGCCGCCACAGCAAGTGGCGGTCGGAGGGCCGCCTGGCGCTGACGGACGCGGGGGTGGCCGAGCACGAGCGCTGCTGCTTCTACTTGGAGCAGATGGTGTGCTACGATTTGCTGAATGTGCCGGACGTGGCTGCAGCGGAGATGGTGTGCCGGAGCATCCAGGTGCAGGAGGAGAGGTGGCGGGATCGGTTCATCACCAATGCCGACGAGTCTCTCGACTCCCACCTCTTTTACGGCACCTCGGCCAACCGGGGCAACGTGTGTGCTCACCCCCAGCTGCTGGCTTACGTCAGCGGTGAGCTTTCCAAGGAGTACGCCGCGGCCAAGGAGAGGCCCAAGGCTCGGGGGGGGCGCCAGACCGCCAGGGCGCCCAACAACAAGAAGGGCGGCAAGGACAAGGACAAGGAGGAAGGAAAGGGGTGACGTGGAGCGGGCGGCGGGACCTGGGGCTCCCCGCCGCCCCGAAGCTCGAGCACCAGGCCCTTTTTCGCGGCCCCAGCGCCGCCGCCGATGACCGACGCCATCGGGATCTTTTTGATCTTCCTCACGTGGCTCGACGGTCCGAGCGCGTGCCCGGCCGCCGCCCCTGCAGGGCCGTGCGCCAGCGGCTCCGCCGCTCCGACGTGCTGCTCCACTGGGCCGACCAGGGTATCGACGCGCTCAACTGTCTGTATGGCCATGCTGGTGCCCCTCCGTCGGCGCCCGCGAACCTGGGATAGCAGACTAGCCTGGACTTTCTGGAGGACTGCTACCTGGGGATGGGCGCGATGCCGAGCGAGCCAGGTTTTTGCGAAGAAGCCCTCCGCGAGCTTCTCAGTGGCTCCACCGTCTACTCCGAAGATGGTGGCGCACGGGTCCCGTGCTCGAAGGAGCTGGTCTCCTGGCCTGAGGTGGGTTCCAGCCCGGTCGACCTTGTGGGCTGCCTCACTCAGGATGATGCTGATTGGGCACGGGATTGGCGACATAATTTGCTCAAGACGCCCGACGAGGCGCTGCTCGGGGCCCGACAAGCTTGCCCTCGCGGACCTTTCGTTGACCCTCGGTTGGCGCGGGATCCAGTTTTGTATGGTGATTTTGTTCGGCGGCTTCATCAATGTGGTATGCTGCGCTTCAAGGTGGCGTCCACTACCAAGCCCATGATTGTTGTATTTTTTGCGAGGAAGAAGTCCGGCAAGCTGCGCATAGTGTTCGACACGAGGTACGCCAACGCCTACTTCCACCCGGCGCCGGCGACACGGCTGCCTACGGCGGCCGCGGTGTCTTCGGTGGAGTCGGGCGGCATGCCCCTGTGCGTGGCGGCCGGCGACCTCGACAGTGCCTTCTACCGTCTCAGGCCGATGTCCGGCTTAGAGGACTACTTCACGCTGCCCCCGCTTTCCTCGACCCTAGCGGGCATCACGGAGCTGGAGGGGGTCAGCATTCCGGCAGGGACCAGCTTGGCTCCCTGCCTTAACATCCTGGTGGTCGTGGGCGATGCACTTCTGCCAGGCTGTGACCATGCGCGCCATTTCTCTGGCGGGCTTCGCGGACTCGCAGATTGCGGAGGACGGTCGGTCCAGCGTGGCCCTGCCCGCTCGCTCAGACACGGCGGCAGCGGGCTACGTGGAGTGGACAACTTCTACGTCTTCGGCCACGACGCCTCGCTGGTCACTCAGCGCCGGGACGACGTGTCGGCCGTCTTGCGCGGGTGGGGCTTGACCGTCCACGAGGAGACGGATGCCTCCCCCGACGCCGTGCTGGTGGGCCTGGAGCTCCGGCAGGGCCGCTGGCTGTCCATCAAGCGCCGCAACCTGTGGCGGCTCCGTGCGGCGCTGGATGCCGTGCTGCGCCGGGGCTGCTGCTCCAGCAAGATGCTTGAGGTGCTGGTGGGCCACATCACGTGGGCCTGCTTGATCCGCCGTGAGCTGCTGTGCGTGCTGTGCTCCGTGTACCCGTACATAGCGGCCGGCCTGCCGACGACCTCGCGGCTGTGGCCCTCCGTGCGCCAGGAGCTGTGGCTCGTCCGCTCGCTGCTCCCGCTCCTACAGAAGGACCTGAGCAGCCCGTGGCGCGACGTGGTCGGAGTGAGCGACGCCTCCGAGTTCGGAGTCGGCGTCGCCGTGCGGCCGGCGCAGCCTGACGCGGCGGCGCAGCACGGCCGCCAGTGCGAGAGGTGGCGTTACCGAGTGCACGGTGCCGAGAAGGCCCGCGAGAGAGCCCTCCGCCCTCAGCCTCTACCATCCTCCGCATACGACACAGCTTCGCTGCCTGCCGGACTGCAAGGCCTGGACGTCTTGGGGCTGGAATCCTTCATCCGGGTGCACCCGAGGGAGTTCATGGAGGTGCCCAAGGAGTTCTTCGACGGGGCTCGCTGGGCTCCTGTTATCGCCTCAAGGGTCGTCGTGCCCGACAACACTCTGGCTCTGGAGGGGGACGCGTGTGTCTTGGGCATCAAGCGCATCATGAGGTCCAGGGCCGCTTTCGGGAAGCATATTCTACTTACTGTTCGTCGACAACATGCCGTTGGCCCTGGGTTGTTGCAAAGGAAGGGCCGCATCCATTCATCTTCGTCGTGCTCTTCGTAAACTGTGTTGCTTGGCGCTGTGTTCAAACTGTACTATTCACATACGCTGGACGTGTAGCGAGTTCAACCCTGCCGATGCTCTCTCTCGTGGGCGTTTAGGCTGGTTCTCAGGGCCTTACCGACGCGCTGCTGCCGCCCAGCCTGGCTGCTCTCGCGCGGGGCCCCCCGAGGCTGACGGGCCGACACCTGCAGGAGCCGACCTCGATGGCGGGTGCCTCGGCCTCTCGCCGCCAGGCGGATCGCCACCGCAGAGCCGCGGCGGCTCGCCAGGTGGCGTCCGAGCGGGGGCCTTCGGGCGGCCTCTCGTTGCTGGAGCGCACGGCGGTCAGGCCGGGCACGGAGCACCTGTGCCAGGTATACCTCCGGGCCTTTCTGCAGTTCTTCCTGGTCATGACCATCGACTGGACGACCGGGGTCGAGATGGACGTCGCCCTGGCCACGTACCTGAATTCGATGTACGTCGAGGGCCGCGCCCCGAACGAGGGCTCCGTGCTGCTGGCGTCGCTGGCACACTACACGCCGGCGCTGCGCAAAAGGACGGCTCTGGCCTTGCCGAGGGCCTCGCGCTGTCTGGCGGGCTGGCGCCGGCGCGTCCCGACCAGGATGCGCCTGCCGCGGCCTCGCCGGGCCGCCTTCGCCATCGCCGGGGCGCGGGCGGCCTGGGGCCAGCCGCGCATGGGGCTCTTCGTGATCGCGGGCGACGGACCCTTGTGGGACTTCCTGCCTACGTCGACTGCTCGGCTCTTCGAGGATGCGTGCCACGCCCTGGGCCTGATGCATTTGCAGCCGCATCTGTACTCTCTGCGTCACCAGGGCGCCAGCGAGGACCTGCTGTCGGGCGCCAGGACGCCGGAACCGGACATGCGGCGGGGTCGCTGGGCCACAGTGGCCTCGCTCCGCCGCTACAGCAAGGAGACCCGCCTCCTCCGGGAGGCCGCCAAGGTGGACCCCGACGTGCTGCTGTTCGGCGAGATCGTGGAGCGCAACTTCCTGGACGCGTTGCGGGTCGGCCCCCTGCTGCCGCTGGTGTGGGCCGAGCTGCCCGCGAGCGTTGGCCCCCGCCTGCGGGGAAGGCCCGGGGCCCCCGCCGCCACGCGGCGCCGCCGACGCTGACGGCGTCGCCTCAGGCCGTGCGGCCTCACCTGCAGCGGCGGTGCCGCCGAGGCCGTGCTGGCGCGAGCAAGTGGGGGAGCTGCCTGTTTCTGGAGCTGTTTGCAGGACAGGGTCGCATCGCCAAGCGCATCCGCGACCTTGGCTACGGGTGCCTCGACCTGGACCTCGTTCACGGGGCCTGTGAGGATCACCTCCACACCACGTTCGAGTCGGTCGTGCGCGGGTGGCTTCTGAGCAAGGCCATTGTAGGTCTGTGGCTGGGCACTCCCTGTACGTCCTGGTCGCAGGCTCTCAGAGACCCTTTGCGCTCCAGTCGTTTCCCCATGGGGAAACCAGGTTTGTCCGGACCTAGGCTGGACCGCCTTCGCGTTGGCAATCGCTCTTTCTACTTTTCTTGCCGGCTCATCCGGCTCTGCATCCAGATCGGCTGCCCTGTCTTTTTGGAGAACCCTCGCGGGTCGCTGCTTTGGCACGCCCCCGAGATGGTCAAGCTTCTTTCGGATTCGTCGTGCACCATTCACAAGATGGACATGTGCCGCTTTGGCACACCCTTTAAGAAGCCGACGACAGTGGCCGGCTGGAATGCAGGCGTTTTCCCCAGCTTATGTAAGTCTTGCTCTGGCAAGGGTGGCATCTGCTCGTCGACTGGCCTGCCCCACCTTATCTTCCAAGGCCGAGACAAAGGTGCGCCTGCCCGCCTCACCGAGCTAGCTGCAGCGTGCTCGCCTCAGTTCGCCCGCGCAGCCGCCCTTGCCATGACACATTCTGCCAATGCTCTCAGAGAAAAATGGATGATGGATGCTGCCTTCAAAATCATGTAGTCTCTTTTCGGTAGGTTAGGTTATTTCACATGCGTAGTTCGTTTTCGGCCACTAATGTGGCCAGGACTGCTCTGCGGGATTCGGGTGGCTCTTTTCAGTGTCTTCGAGGGTGTGCGGCTATCGCCGGGGTCAGCTGACTGTTGTATAGCCTCCGGCCTGCCGTGGCCTCGCCCTCCCGCGCTCGTCCCCATAGTAAATACATCGTCCTGGCATCTGGGGAGTGGAAGTAGCTGATCCTTTTAACAAGTGCATGCTGCGTACCACGGCGAAGTTGCCGCACTTGATGGTCATCCGTTGCCATCTCGCTCGAGCCTCCCCTCCCGCTCCTCCCTTGCTCTCTCTCGTTTGCACGGATTTCAGGTGGCTCTTTTCAGTGTCTTCGAGGGTGTGCGGCTATCGCCGGGGTCAGCTGACTGTTGTATAGCCTCCGGCCTGCCGTGGCCTCGCCCTCCCGCGCTCGTCCCCATAGTAAATACATCGTCCTGGCATCTGGAGAGTGGAGCTATATATATACTATATACTATATATATATATATAATTATATATATATATATATATATATATATATATAGATTGCTGATCCCCCTCACCGGTGCATGATGTTTTTTTTCTAAATCAAAATGTGCCCTTGACGCTCGCACCTGCTTTTTTTGTCACGGAAAGTCTTGATGGTCAATCTGCGCCCTTGTCTCCCGGGTTACAACAACGGCTCCCGCGTCAGACTTCTTCACAGTTTAGCCAGGACCCCCGCTCCCGCCCGAGACTTCCTCGCATTTTATTCAGGCATCGCGCTCTCGCTTGGGACTTCCTTACAATTTATTCAGGAATCGCTATCCCAGCGCTCTGGAGTCGCTGGAGACTTGTTTGCAATTTGCTGAAGAATAGTTGGCGCCCTTGCGTTGGATTTTTTTGCAATTTGCTCAAGCGCCGCGCCACCGACACCCAGGCACCCAGGAGTCGCGCCCGTTGTGGCCCCATGTGCATGCCCTTAGTGGCCCCGCTGTCGCCGTTTGTGGCCCCCTTACTGTCCTACCTGGCCCAGTTGCCACCCTCAGAGGCCCCATCGTTGCCTTCTGTGGCCCCGCATTATCTGCCCTTCGTGGCCCCCGCTCGTTCGCGCTCTTCGTGGCCCCATACGCATTCCCTTCGTGTCCCAGCTGTCGCCCTTCGTGGCCTACTTCGTGTCCTTCGTGGCCATGCTGTCGTTCTCTCTCGCTCTCGCTTTCGCTCGTCGTCGCCGTCGTCGTCGTCGCCGTCGACGTCGACGTCGTCGTCGTCATGGTCTGTCCCCTGTCCGTCCTCTTGGGGTCGTGTCGACGGTCCGCGGCCGCCCGCCGATCAGCGCTGCCGCTGGCCAGGCCGACGGTCTGCGGCCGCCCCGCCGGTTGCCAAGGCCCGGCCTGCAGGGAAGAAAGGTTTCCCCCCAAACGGGGTTCGATGGAAGACGAAAACGGCGGGTATCGAGGGTTTGGCAAATACGCGTTATTGGATACCCAAGCAGATAAAGGGCGAACCGTCTTGAAATGATTGAACATTATTTATTCTAAAGAATAATTATTGTTGGGCCCCCTGGTGCGCGCCCCCCCTGCGCCGCCTAGGCCGCAGCTACATTTTCATCATTTTCGTGAGGAAGCCTCAGAAAAGAGGGTGTGTACAGGATCCGGTTGTTTTGTTGTAATCCGCTTTCCCTTGCAAAAAACAATAGAAAATGACATTTCTTGTTCTAATATAATCAAATTTCAAGAATCCCTTGCAAAAAATAAGGTAAAGTGGACATTCGCGCGCGCAAGACGAAATCCTTCCAAAACCTTAGTGTTCGCAGCGATTTTTTTTTTTTTTTTTTTTTTTTTTTTTTTTTTTTTTTTTTTTTTTTTTTTTTTTTTTTTTTTTTTTTTTTTTTTTTTTAAAAAAAAAAAAAAAAAAAAAAAAAAAAAAAACCAATGGTTTTTCAACAAAAAATTGTCAAAATCTCATCCCGCGCGCTCTTGCGGATTCGTAGGAAACCCAACACTTTTTAAACATTTCTGTCAAACGGGCTTTTGCGAGCAACTTTTTCGAACTTCTGCGACAACGGTTGCGCACCTGCCAGGGCCATCATCCCTGTCAAATAATACCATGCGGGACACATTCGTTTTTTCTTCGCGCGCGCACGCCGTCGTCGTCGGCCGCGGGGCCCTGAATAGTAGCCACGGTCGTCCGCATGCCACGAAGTGAAGTGTCCGAACGTCATAGGGCGGGAAGCTGGGTGTGGGTGGTGGCGAAGAGTCGTTTGGAAATTTGGTAGAGCTTGAACCGGCCCCCCCACAAAGTGGGGGTATTGCCCGCCTCCTATGAAAACCCTGGCACTGGTGAGAACGGAGTGTCCCCACGTGCTAGTAATTGTTGTTGTTGTTGTTGTTGTTGTTGTTGTTGTTGTTGTTGTTGTTGTTGTTGAATACTATTACTTCTAAAGAATAATTATTGTTGGGCCCCCTGGTGCACGCCCCCCTCGCCGCGCCTAGGCCGCAGCCACATTTTCATCATTTTCGTGAGGAAGTCTCAGGCAAAACGGGGGAGTCCGGATCCGGTTGTTTTGTTGACGCCCGTTTTCCCTGTCAAAAAAAATATAAAATGACATGTCTTGTTCTAACATAACCAAACTTCAAGAATCCTTTGCAAAAATGACACGAAGTGCACACTCGCGCGCGCAAGATGAAATCCTTCCAAAACCTTAGTTTTCGTAGCGATTTTAACATAAAAACATGAAAAACCCAATGGTTTTTCAAAAAAATAGTTTCAAAAATTCATCCCGCGCGCTCTTGCGGATTTCTTAGGAAACCCACTACTTTTTCAACATTTCTGTCCAACGGGCTCTTGCGAGCAACTTTTTCACGTGCTTCGAACTTCTGCAACAACGGTTGCGCGCATGCCAGGGCCATCATCCCTGTCAAATAATACCATATGGGACACATTCGTTTTTTCTTCGGCGTGAGGATCCGGCATCGCTGACAACCATCGGGACAACCATCGGGACCACCATCGGAACAACCATCGGGACAACCATCGGGACAATCATCGGGACAACGATCGGGACAACCACAACCATCAGGACAACCATCGGGACAACCATCGGGACAACCATCGGGACAACGATCGGGACAACCATCGGGACAACCATCGGGACAACCATCGGAACAACAATCGGGACAACCATCGGGACAATCATCGCGACAACCATCGGGACAACCACAACCAGCAGGACCTCCAACCAGAGAGAGCTACTCACGTGTATTTCGTAGACGAATGAGCCAGTATTGCACATTGAGGCCGGAACGACAACCACAGAACAATAATGAGCATGTATCGTCTCACAACAACGGAAACAAGTCCTGTGGTATGCTGGCGCCACCCACGTGGTACCACTCAAAATAAGTGTCTTCGCTTGTGTGGTACAGAAACGGAAAAACGTCGTATCAGACGCTAGCGCCTCACCAGCCAAAGCAGTCCATATCATTGTAGGACCTACAGACAGTACCGGCGTCGTACTGGTTTACCGTGGTTTCCTATTCTAGCGTCAGGAACATGTTACCACGAAAAACCAGTACAGGTGTCCAGTGTTGGAACAGGGGGAAAAGTCGTATACTAAGCTAGCTTCCAGAAAATGTTACCACAACAAGTCACTGTACCCATGCGCCAGTGTAGTAGCCAAGGTCGTCCGCAGGCCACGAAGTGAAGTGTCCGAACGTCATAGGGCGGGAAGCTGGGTGTGGGTGGTGGCGAAGAGTCGTTTGGAAATTTGGTAGAGCTTGAACCGGCCCCCCCACAAAGTGGGGGTATTGCCCGCCTCCTATGAAAACCCTGGCACTGGTGAGAACGGAGTGTCCCCACGTGCTAGTAATTGTTGTTGTTGTTGTTGTTGTTGTTGTTGTTGATGTTGATGTTGAGCTCGCACCACTGAAGAACAATTATTGTTGATCCCCCCTCGGGTGGCCATTCTGTTTTTCAATTGAAATGCAGCCCCCAGGGCTCGAACCCTGCTTTTTATCAGGGGAAGTCACTCGGCTCAAACTGCGTTGTTGGCCCCCGGATTACAACAACGGCTCCCGCCTGAGATGCCCCCACAATTTAGCCAGGACCCCCGCTCCCGCCTGAGACGTCCTCGCATTTTACTCAGGAATCGCGCTCTCGCCTGGGACTCCCTTGCAATTTATTCAGGAATCGTTCTCCCGGCGCTCTGGAGCCGCGCTCTCGCTGGAGACTTGTTTGCAATTTGCTGAAGAATAGTTGGCGCCCTTGCGTGGGAATTTCTTGCAATTTGCTCAACCGCCGCGCTCCGACACTCAGGCACCCAGGAGTCGCGCTCACGCTTATGACTCCGTCGCAGCTTACTTAGGAAACGGGATCTCCATGCACTTCGTGGCCCCGTTGCAGCTCTTCGTGGCCCCCGCTGCCCTTCGTGGGCCCGTTGCACCCCATCGTGGCCCTCTCCCTGCCCTCTGTGGACCCGTTGCAGCCCTTCGTGGCCCCGTTGCTGCCCTTCGTGGCCCCGTCTCGCTGCCCTTTGTGGCCCCGTTGCAGCCCTTCGTGGCCCCCTCGCTGCCCCTCGTGGCCCCGTTACAGCCCTTCGTGGCTCCCTCTCTGCCTTTCGTGGCCCCATCAATGTATGCCTTTCGTGACCCCCGCTCGTTCGCGTCCGTCGTGGGCCCATATGCATGCCCTTCGTGGCCCCGCTGTCGCCCTTCGTGGCCCCTCTCGCTGCCCTTCGTGGCCCTGTTGCTGCCTCAGTGGCCTCGTCCTTGCCCTCTGCGGCCCAAAATATGCATGCCATTCGTGGCCCCCGCTCGTTCGCGCCAGCCGTGGCCCCATATGCATGCCCTTCGAGGCCCCACTCCCACTGTCGCCCTTTCTGGTCCCCATTGCTGTCCTTCGTGGCCCCGTTGCTACCCTCAGTGGCCCCGTCGTTGCCTCTCTGTGGCCCCGCATTATCTTCCCTTCGTGGCCCCTGCTCGTTCGCGCGCGTCGTGGCCCCATGCGCATGCCCTTCGTGGCCCGTTGTCGCCCTTCGTGCCCCCTTTCCTGCCCTTCGTGGCCCTGCTGTCGCTCTCGCTCTCGCTCTCGCTTTCGCTCGTCGTCGCCGTCGTCGTCGTCGTCGTGGTCGGTCCCCTGTCCGTCCCTCTTGGGGTCGTGTTGCCGCCGATCAGCGCTGCCGCTGGCCAGGCCGACGGTCCGCGGCCGCCCCGCTGCTTGCCGGGGCCCAGCCTGCAGGGAAGGAAAGATATACCCCCGAAAAGGGGTACGATTGACGACGAAAGGGGCGGGTATCGAGGGTTTGAATACGCGTTGAATGACACTCGAGCAGATCAGCGCGAACAGTTTTAAACTGATTGTCGTTGTTGCAGTTGTTGGTGAAGTTGTTAATGTTGACGCTTCTGTTGTTGATGTTGATGTTGTTGTTGGTGTTGTTGTTGCTGTTGCTGTTTCTGCTGCTGTTGTTGTGGTGGTTCTTGTTGTTGCTGCTGGTGTTGTTGTTGCTGCTGTTGTTGTTGTCGTTGTTTGTTGTCGTCCCCCCCGCGACCCGGCCCGCGACCATCTCGCGACCCTCTGGCGACCCACCCGCGACCCACCCGCGACCCCACTCGCGACCCGCACCGCGACCCACCCGCGACCCACTGACGACTCACCCGCGACCCACCCGCGACCCACGCCGCGACCCACACCGCGACCCACCCGCGACCCACCCGCGACCCACCCGCGACCCACCCGCGTCCCGGCCCGCGACCCACGCGCGACACACCCTCGACCCGGCCCGCGACCCACCCGCGGCCCAGTCCGCGACCGACCCACATTGCTTTATCGTAAAATCGGCGCCTGCGGCGGGCTTTTTGCAAAATTGTAAAATTCGGCGCCTGCGGCGGGCTTCTTCGGAGCCTCGCAGACTGCCGACGCCCCCGCCGCCCCCTCACTCTTATCCGCGACTGCTGGGTGCTACGTATGAGGTCGATGTCGGTTCGAGAAGGGTGCCCTAATGTTCTTTGTATTTGTTGGATGTTCTTGTGCTTCCTGGGGAGGGTATCCCTGGACGTTCTTCTCTGTAGTCTGGCTGGCGGAGGGTCTCATGTTCTTGATTGATGTTCTTCTGGCCTAGGTCTTGCTGTCAGACGAAGCCAGGACGAGGATGACATCGGGTGAGGATAAATCGAGAATATCAGAGGTCTGGCTGTGGAGGATGGATCGGGCGCCGAGGCTTTCGCAGATCGTTCAAGAACGCTCTGAGAGCGTTCCGGAACGCTCTGGAACGGATTTGTCTTCTTCCAAGCCCCGTCCGAAGAGGTGTCCTGATGAAACGGGTCGTAGATGCTGAGGCTATCCCCAGGACCAGATCTTCGTTCATTGCAAAACAATTTCGACCCGTTCGCTTCATGTTGAAGTCGTGCCCCGTCGACGCCTTTCAAGGGCTACATAGCGCTCGCACCCAATTCTTCCATGTGGGCATTCCAAAAAGGTCTCCCCGACGAGAGCAAAGGGTGTGCGTCTCACCGTTGGCGGAAGCTGACGGAAGGCCCGCACGAGGCGGCAGAAGTGAAGCAGCGGTGGTTCCGCTGGCGGAGGCGGAGGGTTAGCCAGAGGAAGGCAACGACGCATAAACATAGGGGCGGCGCCAAACGCGTGCGTTGCCAGGGGGCCCAGTGACGATCCGAGAAGTCCGTGCGGACCTCCGAAAGTGTGTTCATCTGTGACAGAGGATGATGGCGAAGGTAAGGAGAAGGAGGAAGACGTGGTGAAGGATGTGAACGAGGATGGAGACATGGAGGAGGAGGAGGACGACGACGACCAGTGGGGTGGGTAGGAAGAGATGTACGTATGATGATGCTGATGACGACGATGATGATGATGCTGATGATGATGCTGATGATGATGCTGATGATGATGAGGATGATGATGATGACGATGATGATGACGATGATGATGATGATGATGATGATGATGATGCTGATGATGCTGATGATGATGATGATGATGATGATACATGCGCTCTTGATGATGGAGACGACGACCAAGATGATGCTACTGAGCCGCGAGGAGGAACAGGATGAAGAGGAGGCAGAGGGTCTGGAGGAGGACCAGCATTAGGAGGACCAGAAAGAGGACGAGGACCCCCGCCACGCAGGAAACGTTGTATCGGAGCGCTTCACGTAGCCTTGCGGACAGCACTAAGTTCATCACGTTCACTGCCGTGCTGACGATCTACGCCCTCATAGGAGGGGGGGTCGGCTCGAGACGCCCGCTGCATCCACGGAGGATGAAGAGGAGCGATGAAGGAGGGGATGAGAAGGATGGAGGATGATGGAAGGAGTAGGAACGATGACGAAGACGAAGACGATGATGATCGTGGTGGTGGTGGCGGTGGTGGTGGTTGGGAGGAGGAGGAGGAGGAGGAGGAGGAGGAGGAGGAGGAGGAGCGGTACAAGGAGTAGGAGGAGGAGAAGAAAGAGAAGAAAGGAGGAGGAGGCGGAGGAGGAGAAGGAGGAGGACGTTGATGAGGAGGATAATGAAGTTGGCGTTGCGTTTTGACGTCTTGGGGACGTCCAGGGGCTTCCATCGGGCTCCAAGCAAAGGCTTTGAGGGGACTCCATGGGGAGGGAGGATGGCCGAAGGCGCTCTTTTCTCCTCCTCTCCCTCCTTCCTCTCCTGTGTAAGTACACAATCTGAATGCTATTCTCCGCTCTCCCCTGATGACGTCCGCAAGATGTTCGGCCCCCCTCCGCGTACTGTTTTTTCACACAGGATCCCTGGGAGTTGGATTTTCGCTGGTTTTGTTTTCAAAATGTTGTTCCCGCCGAAGCGCTGGCCTCATTTTCGGGTTTTGCTCGTTCCAAGTCGTGTTCCCGCTGCAGCGGTGGCCTCATTTCCGCGCTTCCGCTCGTTTCGAATCGTGCTCCCGCTGCAGCGTTGGCCTCATTTCCGCGCTTCCGCTCGTTCCGAATCGTGCTCCTGCTGCAGCGTTGGCGTCATTATTTCCAGTGCCATGTCACGGCATGCAATGCAATGCTATGCGATGTCATGCCTTCAGCTGCAATGCTTGGATATGCAGTGCTTGACTACGCAGTGCCACGCCATGCTATGCCATGCTACGCTTTGAACTTTAGCGCAATGCTATGACATGCTCTGGTCTGTGCCGCTGTGCGATGTCATTCTCTGCGCTGCAATGCTTTGTGATGTTCATCTTCACAACGCAACCTCTCGCCATGCTATGACATACTACGCTCTGCCGTGCTCTTCTATGCCCTGCTATGCCCTGCTCTACGATGCATCGCGCACCCTCCCTAGATCATCACCCTGCTCGACATCCGACTGTGCGAATAGAGAGATCTACGCCATAGTAAGGGATGGGAGGGAGGGGTGGGACGTCAGATATGACGCGAGCGCACCTAGCTTGTCCCTTCCCCCTCCTCCTTCCCCCTTCCTCCTTGCTCCTCCCTTCTCCCACCTCCCACCTCCCTCGTACGCCCCTCCTCCTTCCTCCCTCCTCCCCCCTCCCACCTCCCTCCTCTCATCCCGCCTTCTCCGCACGGGCTCCAGGAGCGGCCTCGGGCAAGCATTTGCGCAAGCCTGGTTCTGCAGCAGGAGAAGTCCTCGTCCCCCCCCCCCGCGCCGGTCTGGCGGGAGAGCTTACCAACACCACGAGGGCGGGTCCTCGAGTGGGACGCCCCTCGCCCGAGCAGAGGCGGCGGCAGCGTCAGGGCAAGAGCTGCACCCTGTGGCATCCAGCTGGTGTCTTCCCTCCCTCCCTCCCCATCCTCCCTTTCTCTCTCTCGCTCTCTCCCTCTTCCTTCCTCTCTCCCTGCCCCTCCCGCTCTCCCTCCCTCTCACCCTCCCTCCCTCCCTCCCGCTCACCCTCCTTCCCTCCCTCCCTTCTGGGCGGTGAACGGTAGTGCGTGACGCGAGAAGAAACAGCGTACTCCCTCCTCCATCCCTCCCTCCTTCCCCGATCCCTCCCCCTCCCCGAGGGACGAGGGAGGAAGGGAGGTCGGACACAGCATCAGCGCAGCCGCTGTGCCTTCCAAGGATCAAGGATGGAGGGAGTGGCGGAGGGGGGATGGACAAGCTAGGTGCGCTTTCCTTCATATCTGACGTCCTACCCCTCCCTCCGATCCCTTGCCACGGCGTAGACCTCCTCTCTATTCGCACAGTCGGATGTCGTGGTGGGGCATAGCATTACATGGCATAGCATGGTGTTGAAGATCAACGCGTCGCCTGATATAGCATGGCGTGGCGACGCCCCAAAGTGGGGGGTGGGGGGCTTCTGCGGCCCCAAAAATCAATGAATCGGCACCGAATGTGTAATCACTTTGATGTTTTTTTCGGCGGGCCATTTTCTAGATTTAGGGGCCTATTCGGCAGGACCAAAAACAATGCCGTGACATGGCGCTGGAAATAATGACGCCAGCGCTGCAGCGGGAGCACGATTCGGAACGAGTGGAAGCGTGGAAATGAGGCCAGCGCTGCAGCGGGAGCACGATTCGGAGGACGCGGAGCCTGACATAGCATGGCGTGGCGACGCCCCAAAGTGGGGGAAGAATCGACACCGAATGTGTAATCACTTCCGATGGTTTTTTCGGGGGGGCATCTTTTAGTTGTTGGAGCCTATTCGTTTGAAAGGACCGAAAACCATGCCGTGGCATGGGCTGCAGCAGGAGCATGATTCGGAACGAGCGAACGCGCGGAAATGAGGCCAGCGCTGCAGCGGTATCACGATTCGGAACGAGCGGTGGCCCCAAAATGAAGCCAGCGCCTTAGCGAGAGCAGCTTTTTTGAAAACAAACCAAAGCGACAACCCTTCTCCCGGGAATCCTGTGTGCGAAAAACCAGTACGCGGAGGGGGGCCGGCCATTTCCTGGACGTCACCAGGGGGGAGAGGAGAGTAGTAGTCAGATTGTGTAATTGTGGAGGGTGGGAGGGGGAGGGTGGGAGGTGGGAGGAGGAGGGAGGGAGGTGGGGTAGGAGGGGCAGGCGGGGGGGAGGGAGGAGGACGGGCAGGAGGGGGAGAGCCCCCCTTCCCCCACGGCAGCAAACTCGTTCTGCCCTCCTTTCCCCGCGCGCCGGCGGGGCCGCCCAGCCAGGCCACCCCAGTTGCTCGCCAGGGGGGATAACGCAAACGCCCGAGGGGCGGCGGACACTTCGAGCCTCGGCCGAACCCCCCCCCCCGCTGGCGCGCGCGGGCGGGGACAAAGCAAGAAAGCCCGCGCTGGAGAGCGGGGCCCCGCGCATCGAAGAGGGGGGGGAGAGAAAAGAGAGGAGGGGGAGGGGAGAAGATGATAATTAATGCTGCTGCTGATGATGATGGGGATGATGATGATGCTGCTGATGATGATGATGACGATGACGATGATGATGATGATGATGATGATGATGATGATGATGATGATGATGATGATGATGATGATGACGATGCTGATGCTGATGCTGATGCTGATGCTGATGCTGATGCTGATGATGCTGATGATGATGGGGATGTGGATTGGGATGGGGATAAGGATAAGGATAAGGATGAGGATGAGGATGGTGATGGTGATGGTGATGATGATGGTGCTGGTGGTGGTGATGATGGTGATGCTGATGGTGATGATTATGATGATTGTGATACTAATACTGATGCACATGATGAGAATGAGGATGGGGATGGGGATGAGGACAAAGATGATATGCATGATGATGATGAGGATGAAGATGAGGATGATGGTGTTGATGAGGGTGATGATGAGGATGACGATGATGATGATGATGAGGAGGAGGAGGAGGACCAGGACGAATCCAAGACTCATCAACGATGGTTGGAATACACCTTCCCACCAAGCTCCCTTTTCAGGCCTCTACAAGGGTTCATACTCGCTCAGGGAAGTGCCCCGTTGGGGAACAGCCGTGTGACAACACCATCTTCAGGACTTCAACGCCACTGGTCAACCTGACGATTGCGTCCTCACGACCCTGAACTTCAACGCTTCGAATCACTGTAAGTGTTGCGCCCTGACAACCCTGAATCGTTCCGAAACGCTGTTACTGGTACGTCAACCATGCGCGTTTAATGACACTGTTTGCAGATGTTTGAGGCGAATGCACGCGTTGGTAAGGCGAGAGTCACATTTTGAAAAGGAGCCGTCCTCAATCCGTGAAGCTTAAACGAATTTTTCGCGGCGTTGAGGCGAGAACCACATTTTGAACACCACTCGCCCTCCATCCTGGAAGCCCTTGCAAATGTTTAAGACCAGTCCGCGCGGCGCTAAAGCAAATGCCAAATTTTGAAAACGACTCGCCCTCAATCCAAACTTTCTAGTTTTTTTAGAATATGTGTGCGCGGCGCTACGGCGGGAGCCACATTTTTCAAGCGACCCGCCCATCTGTGAAGCTGTGTCCAGCTTTGAAGCTTCAGGATCCTAAATGGTAGGGAAGTCTCAGGCGAAACGCCTGACCCGTCCTCCCGACTTGCCTCGGGATGCGACAGGGAGAAGCTATTCATAAGGAAGAGGAAGGGAGGAGGATGAGGAGGAGGATAGGGGTGTTGCTGCTGATGATGATGATGACGAAGATGATCATGCTGTTGGTAATATTGATGATGTGCATGATGATGGCGACGGTGATGCTGATTCTGACAATGATGATGATGATGATGATGATGATGACGATTATGATGATGACGATGCTGATGGTCGTTGTGATGCTGATGGTGCTGCCGACGATGACAATGATGATGCTACTGATGATAATGCTGGTTTGGTGGGGATGATGATGATGATGACGATTATCATGATGAGGCCGATGATGTTGCTGATGGTGATGATGACGATGATGATCATGATGGCGGTGGTGGTACTGGTGATAGTGATTATGATGATAGTGATGATTCTGATGCTGACGATGATGATGATAGTGATGATGATGCGGATTTGGATGATGTTGAAGACCGCACTTATTATGTTGTTGATGCTGCTGCTGATGATGGTGCTGATGACGATGATGACGACGATATGTTAATGATGCTGATGATGACGATAGGGGATGTGGCTTGTGATGGGGATGAGGATAATGATAAGGATGACGATGAGGATGGTGATGATGCTGATGATGACGATGATGGTGGTGGTGGTGGTCATGGTGATGATGGTGATGATGATGATGCTGATGCTGATAACGCTGATAAAGGTGATGATGATGATGATAGTGCTGGTGATGATGATGCTGATGATGATGATGCTGATGATGC